GAAACCTGAGTCTTCACAGTTTGAGAAGCACTGCCCGAGTGCCTAGAGCACTACAGGTGGAGGGACCTAATCCATCTACTAAAGCTGTGGAAGAAGCTGGGAACGTTGAAATATCAGGTACAATGGAGAGTGGAAATAAAATGTCAGGTGCAAAACATAGGGATTGGAACAATCAACATAACCATCGTGACTGCTATCACATATACATAAAGACAAGACACATGAATACATACAAACACAGAGATTTACAGAACCCCTCTGCAAGCCAGCCATCTATTTCTGAAACACCCAGACATGTTCTCTCTAAACACACCAAATGGCACTGAAAAAAAACTTCCTCATTCTGGAATTTAGGGGCTCTTGTGTGCAGTGCTGCTCCCTCTAAAATAAAGCACAAGTCAACAAGCCTTCTTGTGTGAACAGTGCCTAGAGCTGTTCATTGCCTCATTATTAAGTAGAACAAAACACGAAGGATCACAGACTTGCAAGGAACCAATTTAAACAAACATTGTTAGAGGCAGGAGAAAAGCAAGATAAATAGAGGCAGGGCTACTCTGAGTCATAATAATGGTAGAAGTACAAAGACTCTAAGAAAACCTGGTCTCTAAAGCTTCATCCTCTGAAATGACCTTCCATTTCGCTCTGCATGCTGTCGTAAAACCAGAAACATGTCATATTTCTCAGTGAGGCTCACCTATGGAAACTCTTGTCCTCTTTATAGTCCTAACGATTCTTTAACAAACTCCCACTAACTGAGGTAATCTCAGTGTGTTCCTTGAAACTTGAAAGTACCCATCGAGCTCACTGCAAATGGCTTATTATTAATATGTCTATTTCATGAGTTTAAATTATTTTAGTTGCCAATAACAGAAAACCCAATTCAAACTAGTTTAAGAATTAAAGGAGATTTTTTTTTGGCTCATATAAATGGGAATACATGTGATGGGGTGGGCTTCAGATAATGTGTGATCCAGTGACACAGTGGTTAGTCTCAAAAGCTCAGTTTCTTTTCTCTATTTTTTTTTCCATCACAAAGTAGGAGTATTAGCAAAAAGACACTGGTGCAACCTAAACGTTTTCATCTTTTCATCATTGTTATTGCTATTTTTTCTTGTTTTTTTGCTGGAATAACTGACGTATACCCTCATAACATTCATGAACCAGAAAAAAAAATTTGTAGGAGAGAGATTCCAAAATGCCATTCTAGCTTGTGTTAACTTGAGTAGAGATTCTGAAATAGTGTTTGGCTGTGTTCCACCCAAAAAATAACCTGTCCCAATGCTTTCCCCCAGGATTTCCTCACTGCACCAGAATGTTGTGTGTACAAAAGCAAATGGATTCAAGGTCAGATGGTCATGACCTCCCGGTGCCTTTTCTTTCTCCCTTAGAGAGATGAGACCCAATTAGACACACTGTAGCTTTCAGTGCCTCTATTCTTCTATAAACAGTTTGTTATATGAATAGACAGATAACTACATATTTTCAAAAGATACATAATTTTTACATTTTCCTCATGCCTGAGATTCTTTCTTAGCCATTCCCTCCTCCTAATAGTTTTCGCCTACGTGTAGACATACTCGTATCCTCAGACTCATTATCCTAACATTATCCTCTTTCTTCTTCTTGTTTTCAAACTTCTCTGTTTCAATGGAGAAAAAGTTAAAGACTGTTTAAAATGTCTATTTTTTCTAACATTGAACAAACCAAAAAATTGTTTTAAAAGTATCCAGACTCTTTTATTTGAGAAACTAGAGGCCAATTGAAACCTTAGTTTCAGTCAGCCAATGGACAGAATATAAAAATCTTTCTGTAAACTATAATAATCAGAACTGCATATATGTTATATATTAGATAATCTGTAGGCAGAGGGAGACCCAAACATGCCATCTAGTTTGCCCTTAAATGAAGCATTAGTAATAAGAGTCACAGCTGATGAAAGGTATAGAAATAGTCTTCTGTCCCACAATTAGAACTACCCCAAAGTCAGTCTTTGGGAAAGGATTTAGTTCACACAAAATGCTGACCCTGAAGCCCTGCGGTGACACCAGTGAGGGATGGTCTGTCATCCACAAAGACTGTGTGCTTGGGAGGCAACTAAAAGGGTTCTCTGTATTTTAATGGATCAAAGTGGAATTTCCTGCATCCATCTTTCAAGCAAACATTAAAGGTTTTGAGTAGAGAACTTGGGCTTTTCACCAGTTTCAGAGTTGTAGAGGAGCTACACACGTAAAATAATAGTATGTACTTGATGTATGTTTGTACTTGTTAAATTATGATAAAAATAATTTAAATCAATTCTGGAAGTCCCCATTTTTCCTTACGAAAAATGGTTTGAACATTACTCAACTTTGAGAAAAACAAGTTGCTGTGGAAAATGTCTCACTGAGGTTAGAGCTAATGCAAACATTCCTACTTCCTTCATCTTCAGATCCCGGAGGCTGTGATTGACATGGAATAGAAAGAACTATTAATTGATGTAAATGAAGTGCGTTTCAACAGAGAATGACAGTTCTACTTTATCTGCTTTAGACTTTGGCTTTCTCTGTAAGATTTTACTTCAACTTTTTAAAATGTTTTTAAATAGTGCAGTACATCACACTGCTTTGTTACTTCTAGAAAATCTCAGGCCTCCTGGGTTAGAAGAAGCAGAAGAGGGTAGATAGAGCACCAAATATGTGGGTTACCTTCAAACGGGGAGCTCCTGGGCGGAATCATCCTCTAGTGCTGGATAATTTTATGGAAAAACTAATGTATATGAATGTCCTCTGATATACTACTGTTTGAAATGGGCACGTAGGATTCCCTTTGATAAATGAGACCAGAGCAATATTCTCATTTATGCACTTGCAATAAACCAGGGAGTTAAACTCCTTAAACTTGCCTCTAATTCAGTATTTTGAGCTCTTTCCCTATGGCTCAATAGAACAAATGTCATTTTATTGTTTAAGATCCTCATAATACCTTCAGTAGCTAGTTATGGAATTGCTCTCCTTCTGTACTTTTCCTAGCTGCTAGCATTCCATGAACTTATTTCCTTTGCCTTTGAGTATGACTAGATTGGAAAATGACAAATGGAAGTGCTCTGCTATTCAAGGAAGTAGGGATCCTTTGGAATTTCTAAGCAGTAAGATAATGCTTTCCAAATGCGATGACTTGAGATGACTCTATAGCAAGAACACAAGGGTATGTAGACGAATTGCTCACTCTTGCAGTCATCGATTCATCCCATGCCATTTAAATATTAATTGGGTGTGAAACATTTGCTAGGCTCTGAGAATGAAATGGTGACTTGGTCCCTGCTCTTGTGGACTTTATGGTCTAAGGGGGAAGAGAGACATTGCATAAGTAATCACAAAGCTAAATATACAATTACAAAGTAGGATGAAGACTATGAAGCAAACGTATAGGGCACAATTAGAATGGATCACAGTGGGTTTATCCTAACTTGTGGGAATCATGGAGTAGTGTCCATTCGCTGGTAGTGCCATTCACTGAGACACTGAACTGTGAATGTGAAACATGACCAGACCTGAGCAGAAATATCATGGTTCCATTTCGGATAATCTGGGTTTGAGACAGGCAAATAGGGAAGCCAAATAAACACTCAGATATATGGAGGAATCTGGATCAAAGAGAAAAATTTGGGAATCCTTAACCAATAGATGAAGAGGTGGATGTGAAAATGAATTCAGGGATAAAGTTAAAAAGAAAAGAGGGCCTGTTACTGCGTCTATCACAACTTTTAAAGATTTGGGCGAGGAGGTTGGTTGACAAAGAAGATGGAAGAATGTGTAGCCTGATGACAGGCAGCTCTACCTTGAAGCTAATGAAGCTTAAGATTCTGGGTCCTTCTCTTGCTTGGGAGGAGCCCTAGTAACATGTTTACAGAGTCACATATTTGTGTAAAATTTTCAAAAGAAAGATTTTTTTTCCTTTTCTTAAAGCAGAGCCCCACATTGTATAAGCTTCAGGTCCCACACATCTGCCCCTAACTAACATGAAGGAGCAAAACTAAAAGAGTGTGAATGCATGGAATTACAGGGCGGGTGGGTTGGGGGCATGGAATTCAGAAGAGAATGTTCAACTAACCATTATGAATGCATCTGAGAGGACAAGAAATATGAGGAGAGAAACCTTTGCATTGGATTTAGGTAGTGAGTTCATGGGTGTCCCCAGCAAGTCTTTTCAGTGCGGTGATAGAGATGGGAAGTCAGATGCAGTTGATTGATTTTAAAAACTTGAACTGTGAAGGAGAGGGGAAAAAGGGTGGTAGCAGAAGAGAGATGGACTCTGGAGGGAGGTTTTTTCTTCCTTCCCTCCCTTCTTCCCTTCTCTCTCTCTCTATCTCTCTCAACTTGATTTTAAGTGCTTTGCTATTCCTTTGGAATTTCTAAGCAATAAGAGAATCCTCTCCAAATGGTCTCGAGATAACTCTACGGCAAGAACACAGAAGTTATGTAGATAAAATGTCCTTAAGATGGGGAAACTCGACAATGTTGATTGACAGGTCCCACAAGATAGAAATGTGTTGAAGATACAAGGGAACGGATAAGCTGGGATGAGTTTTTACCTTCATCCTGACTTCACTTTCATTTTCAAAGGACCCAGAGGAGATGACAATCCATAGGCTCAGGATATCTCGGTGTTTTTATTTTCCCAGTGGGCAAATCTACACTGATCGTGTGTTGGTGAAAGCAAAAGGGGCCTTGGGTTGATGGCACTCTCCACCCAGGGCACTGAGTTCATTTTTACTCAACTCCCAACCATTTGCAGGAAATGATCTTTTTATTAGCTTTCTGACAATACCCTCTTTTACTTGACACGCACATTGTACAGGACGCCCCGCGTGATCTCGGCAACCTCGCCGAGCTCATTGCCTACATCCCAGGCCTAAGGCCCGAGGAGCTAGTTTAAAACTCAGGACCGCTGGTCGGGCCGCGCCCCTGATTGGCCGAGGCGCGCCCGCCCCGCCGGCTGCAGGCGTCACGCAACCCGGGCCGCCGGGGCCCACCGCCTCCTCGGCCGCCGCTTCCTCCGCAGCCCCGGTCGGCGCAAGTGCGGCGCGCGCTGGGGGAGGGGGCGCGGCGGAGCGCAAGGCTGGCGTCGGGCCGCCGGCGGCGGTGCGGGATTAAGTTTCTCGGTGGCGCGCGAGTGTCTGTGCGCTTTCGTCCCGAGGCTCCTCGCTGGGCCGTTACTTCAGAAGAGAAGAGAGAGCGTGGGCGAGGAGAGGGCTCCCCGAGTCCCCGGAGACCCCCGCTCCCCAGCCCTCCGCCCCTTTCCCGTCTCCGCCCGGGGCGGCCGCCGCGAGCCGGGTAAGCGGCGCCGGGAGGCCGGAGCGCGCCCCCGCGCCTGTGCGCGCGCCGGACGGGGGGGTGCGCGGGTGCCCGGGGCTTGGCGGGCGGGGTGCGCTCGCCCCACCCCGCGAGGCCCGGGAAGCTGCTGCTTCTCTGGCTCTTTAAAAGGATGGGGTCTGGAAGTTTCTTTCCGATGCTGCTCGCGTGGCCCCTGAGCGAAAATCCCAGATCTTTCAGCCCCCTTCCCCCAACTCCTCGCTCTTGCCTATTTTAAATGGTTTAAAAGTTTTATTTTTCCTTTCCCTTCGTTTGGCGAGGCGCAGTGCCAAAAAGGGGGACCCCGGGCCTGGCGTGCAGGCCGGTTGCTCCGGGGGCGTAGGAGCCTGTTGCTCTCCACGCCGTGGCCACGCCGCACGCTGGACGCCCCCTCCACCGTTCCGCGGTGCGGGGCTGTGCGGGGTGGGCCAGGGGTGGGGAGAAGTGCCCCCACGGTGGCGTCTCCAACCTCGGTCGCGGGGAACACAGAGCGCACCCCCCCAACACACACATACACCGTGGCGCCCGTATCTTTTTATCAGTTGCCCCAGTTGGTAGGAGCATTTTGTCTCGCCTCCCCTTTCACCTCTGCCGCTCCCCTCCTCCTCCCCCGCGGCGCCCGCCGCCCCGCGACGCTGGGACGCTTTTGTCTGCGATTTCGCAGCCCGGGGATGCCGGATGTTCCTAGCGAAGCCCCCTGTTCGGGAGACGCTTTGTGTGTGGGGGAGTTTGTGTCAGTGATGGTGTACATTTTTGCTTGCGTTCTTTGCAGAAGCACAAAGGCCGGGCTGGCTTGCCTGCAGATCTCTTGGAAATTGAAGCTGGGACTGCGGTGTGGAGGAGGGGCCAGGCCCGGGCGGGAGGTGGCCGCCGCCGGGGCGGAGGGGCGAGGTGGGGGTGGCTTAACGTCTCCATCCATCTCCCCAGGTGGGGCTGCTGCGGTTGCTCTGCCTGAGAAGAACCTGAACACGAGTGCCGTGTGCCTTGGCGGGGGGTGCGCGTGGCGACTAGGGTTTCATCCGTATCATCTGATAAAAGGACCATGACTTCACTAGCCTAGGAGGAAACCTTTCCATGTTCTTTTGATGCCGAGAGGGAAGAATCTGAAAAGTGGTCTATCATCCAGCTTTGGTGGACAGCTGTGGTGTAGCCATCCCTTTTGTGTTTCCGTAGGCATTCCTCATTTAGGTTACATTTTACGGAATAGATAACACCTGATCTTAAAAACTAAGGAGGCGATGGTTTGGGGCTTGGGGACTTTTACGTGTTGAATTGGGATATGGGTGGCTACAAAGAACTTCTTGTAAGGGTCGAAACATCTAAATTTGTATATGTGCTTTTAGCGCCTGGTAGAATTTAGGTAAACAGTTGTACTTTTAAAATCAACAGCAAAACTTGAAGATCCTTGGCATGAAATTCTAATGCAATGCTAAGCTCTAGGTGCATACACCTGTGCCCATGCCTGAGAGGGGTGGAGAGGGTTTAGCGGATGGTGGGGGTAACCTTGTGCGGGATGCCCAGATATGGGGCTTGCTAATGGGCTGGCTTACAAATGGGCGGGTCTAGGTTGGGCTCTATCCCTGTTCTGAATTCATATTAGGGTACTTTAAAGCGGAAGTCTGTCAATTTAAGGGCCATGGGCCAAATCTGCCCTCTGCAGTCAGTTGGCTTTCCCACCTAAGGTTTAGGAGCTAGGAATGGTTTGTATATTTTAAAATGGTTGAAAAAAAAAAGAATGTTTCATATGTGAAAATTATATGAAAATCTAATCTCAGTGTCCATCGTCAAATTTTGCAGCCACACTCATTCCTATTGTTTGGGTCTCATTCTTAGCCTGTATGGCTTTCAAAGCTACAGTGGCAGAGTTGAGTAGTTGCATAGTTTAGACAGATGTAGAGCCTTCAATATTTACTATTGTTACCCTGTATATAAAAATTTGCCTACCAAAGCCAGTCTTTCAAAGTACTGCGGTAAGTATTCCCTTTGGTGATGGGTGCATTCTTAATCAATTTCATTGCCTTTCACGTCCTTTTCAGTGCCCCCTGAAGTGACTTTTCCCCAATAGGTAGAGTAAGTTAGTGGGTCAGATTTTTTTATTTCCAAGTTTCACTCTCAAAATTTTTTCTTAACATTTTGGTATTTTTCTCTGTTAGAATCTAGGATAAAGTGGGGTTTTGATTAGCAGAAATTATGCATTTAGTTATTTTAAGTTTAATATAGATAGTCATATTTCAAGGTGTTCTGCAGTGAATTGTAGTAACTTCTCACGGTTCTGTTATCTGAGCAGGTTTGAGAATTACAGTTTTGTTTATTTAGGTAGAGAGAGGCAGGGGTTAGGGCATGTTATAGGTTCCATTGCACAGGCAAATTGTCCTTTAGACAAAGCTATTATAATTTGGGGAGGGGTTCCCTTGATGCTTCCCCACTCCTCTTTCCTGCCTCATTTGTTAAACAGAAAAACTGATGAAGCTTATCTCAAAGTACTACTACTAGGTCCATCTTATTTGTACCATACCTCTAGATGTGTTCCTTTCCTTTCCTTGGTTGGCTCCTTTCAGTATTTCTTATCCCCTCTGGTGTCTGGTTTTCTTTCTCCCTTTACCGCACACCGTCCTTTTATCTCCTGCGCCTGGCTGTTGTGACTTGGGAAGGGAGAGATGTCAATTTTTAGTGTGCTCTAAATTCCTATCATGTTGACATTGCCCTGTTTGGCCCTTAAAGATCTCTTTGCATTTCAGATGCTTTTTAAATGCACATATACTCTGAGGGAGTAGAGGCTGTCGCAGAGATTATTATATATCTCTGCAAGATGGGTTGCTCTGGAGAAGTTCCTGGAAATCATTGTCATATAACTTTGCATTGATGCAGGCCTTAGGTGCTGGGGTGAGGAGGCTGTGCTTTACAAATGAAGAAGTGGACCCATTGTCTAGAATTAAGAGGAAGGGATTTAGAAGCTAGCATGTAACAATGAATTGCCTGGAAAGTAATGATCCTGAGTTAAAGGCAGATTATTTTCAAAGGCAGACTATTTTCTCCTAATTACACCCCAAGTCTGATATCATAGACTTGACTATCTTAGGTTGATTTGTAGGTTGGCTCCATTTTGTATATTTATAATATGCACAAAGTGAACATTGTAAAGTATCTTGAGGCAAAGTTGATGTATTGGACTGGAAACGTCCCAGTATGTGCTAGAGCAAACAACACATCTGACAGTGAACAATTTTCTGTATTTCAAAGTAAAGAAGCAGACAACTTCCCAGGATGCAAGACTGCTTGACGGTGCATCTGAATGATGATATATGATACATATATGTCATGTATTATCATTATGTTTCCCAGTTATATGTTCTTTTAAAAACACATTTGCCTAAAGTAGGAATTCATTTGATATAGTTAAATTGTTACATGTATTATTAACCTCATACTTATAACAAGAAAAGTATTGTTTTTCTCTCGTAAATTAATGTCATGCATAGGGCAGCATCAGTAAAAATACAGTTCGGAAATGATGTTTAGTGTGGTAAAGTTAATTGACTATGTTTAAATGATAGTAGTGGGGTTCCATGTAGGCAAATAAGAAGGAGATGAAGAACTTCTAGATAAAGGAAATGTTAAGTAGATGTTAAGTAATCCATTGCTTTCCTATGAAATATTTCCCGAGAAGATCTGAGGTAGTTATTCATTTAGTAGATAGTAATAAATGGATTAGGAGGTATGTTGTATTGTGTTGCACTAGGGAAAACTCAAAATTTAAGTATACTGTTCCAGCAGCTAAGATCCTAGTTGGAAAAATAGATGCACAGAGGAAAATATAAAAAGGCTTTACAGGGCCGGCCGAGTGGCGCGTTGGTTGGGAGCTGGCTTGGGATGCCAAAGGGCCCCAGCTGGGATCCCGCATATGAGGGCCAGTGACACTGCCCTCCACAGCTAAGATGCTGGGCGGCAGATAGACCTGGGGCTGGGCTGCCGCGGGTCGCCAGCAATGGCGTGGGCAGCAGACCCTGCTGCAGTGGGTTGCCGTGGGCTACTATGTGTAGCCAGCAGCCAGCGTGAGTGGCCAGCAGCCGCTGTGAGCAGCCGTCCAGAAGCCGGCGACTGATCTGCCTCACCCAGGAAGAGCGCAGTGATGGTGCCAACTTGGGCGGGTGAGGCGGTGTCCTCCACAACTAGACTGAGGAACAAAAGGACAGCAACTTGTCTGTTCCCCATCTCCCAATTCCCCAATTAAAAAAAAAAAAAGTTGTACTCAAATTTAAAAAATAAAATAAAAAGGCTTTACATGTAGTAAAAATTACAGAATTCAAAGAAATTAGATATCATTAGGATTCCTTGCTTGCAACATGTAGATAGCCATCTTCTACTGGTATCTTCACAGGGTCTTCCCTCTGTGTGTGTCTGTGTCCCAGCCTTTTATGAGGACACCAGTCCTGGGTTTAGGATGACCCCAATGATCTCATTTAACCTTAATTACCTCTTTAAAGACCCTATCTCCAGTATGGTCATATTCTGAGGAACCGGAGGTTAGGACTTCAACAACATATGATTTCTTTTGGGGGGAGGGGCATGAATCAACCCATAACAAAGTTGTTAAAGAGATTGTACAGACCGTAGGCTGTAAACTGGCGAGACCTTGAAGACTGGAACAGTTCAGGGTATGGGAGGGAGGTCATGTAGGCTATAATAGTAGTTTAACTGAGCGTTATTGTGGTAATTTGATGTTTTTGAGTAAAGGGAAACTGCTATTTAAGGAAAAGTTTTTTTATCTTTGGCCTGAGGCCACTTGTTTTCTTTCTCCTCATATTCGCTGGGACATTGGCCCTTCCTTCCATTTTGTGGACAGAGCATTAGCTTTCTTTTAAAGTGTTTCATAAAAGCATTAATTTTCTTAAAATATTTCTTCTCTTAAAAGTGAATAAAACATTAAATTCAGCTACAATGAAATGTTAGTGTTATAAACATCTCATGATGGTTTTGGAGTC